CTCATCCTGCTAGATCTTCAAAGAGGCATCATTGAACTCTTGAGCAATGGTTTGTATGACTACATCACTGGACGGTATCAGGATGTGCATGACGTTTCAAAGGCTGCACCGGCTCGAAGACACTCTAAAGATGGTTCATTCTCAATGCCTGTGGAAAACATTTGGGATGTCTTAGATCATTCTCAGACCACTGGCAAGAATGTGAGGCAGTCCTTGGAATTTTGCAAGAGTCGTCTATCAAAAGCTGGTGGTGTTCATGAGAATGCTGCTGACTCTTGGGTCAGGAGACGACAAATTATATACGACCAAAGGTTGGTATCGTCGTTGGTTGGAGCTTCACATTTCAACCTAGTGTCGGATGCCTCGAAGCATTCGGGAATGGAGGTGCTTGTCTCAGTCATTTTCAGCCATGAAAATCAAACAGCTGGTTTGCCACCACTACAGGTAATTCTTCCCTGCGATGCTTTGCTGGCTCCTGGAGAACTTGACCTAACATCTTTGGTGGAGCAGCTGGCTAAGGATAACAAGCTCCAGCGGCTGGCAGCGTACAGACAACTACAGGCGATCTCCCATCAGTTGCAATTGAGTACAGGCGGGAGATTCAATTTGACTTCTTTTGGGGTCCCGGAGTATCTGCGCTTGTCACCAGTGGAGCCAGGGCAGACAAGGTTCTGTCATCGTGTCACTGATGCACAGGGCTCTTCAATGCGGCTTGCAGGCATTGAATTTGAATCTGCTGCAGAGGCTGATCCAGATCAAATGGAGCTCACCGATCGACAGGAACAGTTTCTGCTGCCGTCAGAAGCGGAGAATCCTAATTGGTGGTTGAATGTGCCCATCTTGACCCTTCAGCTTGACCAAGGTGGAACAGGGATGGCAGGTGCAGCTTATGCCATTCATCATCTTGGCCATCTCATTCACGTCAGATGGGACATTTTCCACAGGTGTATCCGTGACCTGAAACTGTCCCTTCAATATTCTTGCCGTGGCATTTTCCTGCAGGCACAGATGCATAGCAATTACATGTGGGGCCTTTCCTATCGTCCATATGGCACTGGCCATTTTCACGAGCACAAAAAGCGCTTGATGGAAATTTTGCTGTCTCGCGAGTCATGGGAGACTTGCAATGAATTTGATCAATATTGGGAGGACATCCGTGACGACTTGGGCATGAGCCCACATAGTTCAATGGAAGAGGTTTGGCGGGAGCTTCCCAGCTGCAGGCTTTTCCAGGCCAAGGGCACCTGCCCAAAGCAGGGGCGCTGGTTTGCATGGAACGATGCTGCCACTGAACAATTACCAGAATTCCATGTGCTCAAAATGGTATTAAAGTACCACCATGGATCTGAGGATGGCAAGAAAAAGCTAGATCCAGACGAACATATTGAGCAAGAGGCCATTGCTTTGGCCACCAGACGGTCAATGCGTGGTGATGGTTCTCGAGCTGACATGCGGCAGGAGTTTTCAGACTTGAAGAAAGCATTGGGTGGTGGGACACGCTTGGCTTATTTTTGCATGAGTGAGAGATTGTGGGCCCTTTGCCACATTCTTCAGGTGGTCAGTGAGCCTTGCTGGACCTGGTATGCTCATGAGGTCAAAGAGAATCAAAACCACATTGACTGTTTGAACCGGACAATTCACCTTCAGACCCATTGGGCTGGGGAGAATCACCTTCAAAGGCTTGCTGCAATTCCGACATCAAGACATCCGATCTTTGTCAGGCTGATTGCAGAGAAACGGGTGTTGGACACAGGGCCAAAGACAGTTGATCTGTGCTTACACATTCTCATGCGGAGAGCATGGTCTTTTGTGCGGCACAATGCTCCACCTGACTGCTACGCATGCATCCTTGACGATTCAAACCCGCCTTTACAACAGGACGGACTTATGATGACATGATAAACTAACTTGTTTGGTGGTGGGTTTTGATTGATTCATTTGTTTCAGAGTACCACTGAGGGATGATGTTCTGTAGACTGTATGGTATGCCATCTGGTGACATGTCATGTGTGATGGTGTTCTACTGTAAATTTGGTCTGCGCCAAAATAAAGACTTACTGATACTGACTAACTATCAATTGTCAACTACTATTGTAATATAAAGCAGATATTTCTGGTTGTCAGATTGTCATTCATGGGCTTCACAGGACACAGTGCGCCGCATGGCTAGGGATTTTTCTGCAATATTGCAGCTGGAGCAAACAGTGGCAAATACCAGAACTCAACCTCAGTTGATTCACGACCTGAAGATGGTGGTGACGCCTGCAGTTCGCCTCATGTTTCTGCTTTTTGAGCGTGATGATTTCAGGGCAGCTTCCCAAGCGGGCAGGCATGTACTCAAGGGCATGCTTCTGGCGTTGCCAGATAGCAAGCTGGTTGAAGACATTCATGGAGTCATTCGCGTGGATGGCCTCTCTCAGAAAAACAAACGGCAAACGGTGCACTCCATCCAGGAGCTGATTACACAAAGCCATGTATTGAATACACGTTCCATTGCGCACAAGGCGGTGGTGGACAGGAACACCTTTTTGGCCAATTTCAAGAGAACACCAGACCGCAAACGGAAGAGGCCACTCACTGTCAAAGTTTATTGTGTTTCGATTCACTTTGATTGATTCAATTCAATTGGCGTTTTGTTGGGTACAGCTGATCTTGTGTTTCTGTGTGTGTTGGATAGGGAGACTAGAGACAAATCAACCAGGGCTATTTTTCAACACTTGTGGTCCTTGAGTTTTCTTCCAGAGGCTAACTTTTAACATGACAATCTCTTGTGTGACAAAAGGCAAGTTCGGGTGTGGTTTTTGTGTGGTGAAGAGTGAGCTTCATGGATAGGTAATCTTTTGAAGTGAGTCAGTGTGACAAGTTCTTGCCCCATACCTGTCAGGCGGTACCATGCGAGATCTCACAAGCTGCCTGCTGAATTTTCAGGGCTTATGAAAAGAAAGAATTGGAGTACCCTGAGTGAGCAAACCCTTCAGATTGGAGCAGCTGCGTTTGTATTCCTGAGGCATTACACAGATTCAAGATTGTCAGAGCAGGGCATTCGGATTGCTTATGGAATGTTCTCCAAGTTTGCCATGCAGCATTGCTTGATGCGGCAGGGTTTTGATGGTCCACCTGCACTTTGCCTTGGCAATGCCACGTGGGCATGCCTCTTCTGGCCTGTTGAGAAGGTGTCTATCCCGGGAGGCTCTGATGGGTATGTCCTGGACTCGGGTGGCTCTGCTTATTGGGGCCATGTGGTGAACCCTGAGGAATGGCAGGTTCTTGACTATCATGTGGAAACTGCTGAGGAACGGTTTTTCATGATTGTTGACGAGTCTCAGTCTCAATCACTGCTGAAGTGCTATTTTTCGCAGGCCCAAGTTGTCAAGAAAATGAGCTTCAATGAGCTGAAGGTGCTGGCTGAAAATCTCAGCTGCCCCCCTGCCCTTGGAAATTCTGAGGTGCTGGGAAAAATGCCCAAGACTGATCTCACAGACTGCATTTTGGATCATATTGGCTTGGGTGATGATGATTGGGTGCTCAGAATCAAGGAACTGCTGCGGAAACCTCAGCCTGAGTCAGAACCTGCTGATGGTCCTGAATTGGGAAGCACTTTGGATGAGCTGGTCCTATGGGATATGCCGGCTGAAGATCAAAAAGAGTTTCGGGATGTTCAAGAGCTCATTGTGAACCGTCGGATCAAATCAAGTGGATGGACACTGGTTGAACGCAAAGCCCGTGATCAAGAGAAGCGCTCGGGCAAAAAAAAAGAAAGCAGCCAAGTCCAAGACCAAGAAGGCTGACAGAAAGAAGAAAACCCAGCAGAAGAGCAAGGCTAGGGCAAAGCCAAAAAGCAGGAACAAGCGCCGCAAGGTGCTGGACACTTCAGAGCATGTGGACACTTCAGAACATGTGGACACTTCAGAGCATGCAGCTGCTTTGTTTTTGTTGAGCATATTTTATTGTGAATAGCAAATCAATCAAGAACAATCCAAATTGTTTTTGTAGTTTTTGTTCTCCAAATGCAGTGGAAATTTGATCATCGCCCACACTTGGTTTTCAAGTTTTAGTATAATTATGTTGCAAGACTTGGATTTGGCAAACTTGCGCCATTTATCTCAGGCCCTGGAAGACAACGCTGACGAGTACATTGATTCTCCTGTGCCATCTGAGTATACACCCAGCCTTCCGCCAGAGCAACCGGAGGACAACTTGGACCTGCTGCAGCTTGTGGAGCCACCTATCGCTGTCGATTGTTGTCAGTTGGAGGCGTCAGCAGTGGCAAACGACAATCCA